GACAAACATACACTCCTATCTAAATAAAATGAAAATAAAGAACAACTAGTAAGTGTACTCCCAAATTTTTCAAATAAAAGTACAAATAAATTCCAAATAAATAATTAAAAAAGAAAGTGATTTTTTCTAAATTTTTTTATTTGAAATTTATTTATATTTTTTTTGAAAATTTTGGGAGTATAGTTATAATTTACTTTTTATTTTTCTTTTCTTTATTTTTGTTTTATTTAAATAGGAGGATATATTTATTATTTTATAGTTTTTTATTGAAAAATTTATGAAAATGATGATTTTCGTAATGAAATTTGAAAATAAGGATGAAAATGTCAAAAAATGAAATGTGATAACGTTTTGCATAATAATATTGAAAAGTATGGACATTTTGTGTTAATTACCCTTTTAATAATTTATTTGTATTTATTTGCAAATTTTTAAAATATTTGTGAGTATAATTGTAATTTGTTATTTAATTTTTCTTTTCTTTTTTTATTTAAATATAATGGTATATTTGGTATTTTACATTTTTTATCGAGAAATTGGATGAAAAGAACATTTTCCACAATGAAAAATGAAAATAGGACTGAAAATACCAAAAAATGAAAGATAGTGACATTTTGCACAATAACATTAAAAGGTAAGGATGTTTTGTGCCACTTATCCTTAAACAAATAAAAAAAAAGAATTATTTCATCTGTTCCATTTATATAGGCTACATTTTATTATTTTTCTTGTCCAGTTACATAATCTTGTTTCTTTTATTAAGAATGTTTTGTTTTATTCGTTTATTAATGTACTCTTACTTAATTTGTCTATTTATATTCAATTTTTTCACTTACTTTTGAAATTGTACAAATATAAAAAAAGGTAAACTAAGAAAGTTTTTGGTGAAAATTGCTTTTTTAATGACATTAAGCACTCATTTGTTTCCATTATTTGCTTATTAGAATGAAAAATATGATCGTTATCCATCACATCAAGCCACCATATTTGACTTTCTAATTCTTGTGTGAGGCATGTAACGACTATATTTTTCATTCTCATTTTTACATTAATGTGTACCAAATGAGGCATAAATAAAATTTCTTAATCCGTGCGAAAAATAAAGCAAGCTTATATAAATGAGATGGAGGGAGTAATTTTCTTTCCAACTCCCAACCTCACTCCATATCCCAAAAATAAATAAATAAATTGAAATCCTAGCCACCCACTGCCAACCATCTGATGCTCATCATCCACCGCTACCCCATCCACACGTGAAGCCCACTATCGCCACCATTGTCGTCCCAAAAATAATGGTGTCAACAAGTCGAGCCGAAACTCGAGGCTGGACTCGAGTAAAATGGTTCGAGTTTTTTAACGAGCCCGAGCCTAGCTTTTGCTCGACCAAGAAATCTAGGCTTGGCTTGGAAAAAGCTTGCGAGCCATATGGGTCGGCTCGGGCTTGGCATCCCAAAATGGGGCTAAGCTTGAGCCTCGAGCGAGGTCGGCTCGAGCTTTCTTCGGGTCGAGCCATGGTTGGCCGGGGCCAACAAGCTTGATTGTCATCCCTACCCAAATAATATAGGCGACACAATTGTAATTGAGGTTATAGGGCAAATGATAATGGTAACTATAACAGTCTAACTCTTTGTTGTAGTGTCTGTTTTTTGTGCACATCTTTATGCCAAATGGTTCTGGAACCGTCATCGAGAGAACAGCACCACAGGGCGGCGCCACCAAGTGAAGATCGCCACTGTCCTGCGCCGTGGTCTTGAATTTACTATCCTCAAAACCATAACTGCAGTAATACTTTTTACCATCAGTTTGGTACAAAAATGGTTATAGCCATCTTTGTTTAGAGGGAAACAAGAACTTTTTCGTTGCACCTAGCTCCAATTTTTTTCTCTAATGTGCTTTGACCGTGTGTAATTAGGCATCATGTACAGATGATAGAAAAAGCACATGGGGGGTAATTGTAGTTTTCTTGGTCCAAATATTTATCCCAACGAGTTCAAAGATGGATTGGAATGTGCAATGTCTTTCTAAGCCCCGAGGTTGTTGGATGGGTGGCAGAGGGAATTTTGATTTTTGTTTTGGTTTTGGGGAGGGTTGGGGGTGGAGGGTTCGGGAAGATGAACATTTCTAATTTATTTATTTTTAACTTTTTATTATAAAAAATGTAATCGTGGATGGATTCTGTCCAATTGACTTTAGCTGCCATTAAAGTGAAAGGATTGGGACTGCCATTGTACAAATAAAAGGTTAAGGTGTATTTTGCATTTAATTGAAAAGTTTGGGACCTCCGCAGCAATTTTCCCTTTGTTTTTTTGTAATGATCAATTTTTAATTTGATTGCTATCTATATTAAGACTCAGAATTGATCCGAGAATTCAAATACCAACTTACTAGAAATAACGACAAACCCGAGTAGGAATATTTGTGCGAGCAAGTCCACAATCCCTTTTTGACATTTATGCTCTCAATCTTTACTTTTATATCACCAGTGTTAAGTAATGAATGCAATTACTAGTTGAAATTATTCTGGCACGGTTCTTCCTATCTCCCTTAGAGGAACTAGGTGGTGTCATCCATTTTCGCAATCGGTCGCCGACAAAAAGAGATCGAGGCTGTCTCTCCATTTGACATCTTAAGGCCTGAGAGTAAGGAGAAAAATATGATTAAAGGTGTAAAAATTTAGGGCACAAGTAAAGATTTCGTAAGAGTTCTTGCAAAAGTACAAGACATCTTTTGGAATGTATTTTAGACAGTCGATTTTCGTCTATGTGCTTGACGATTTTCTCCATACGCCTTGCGGTTTTTCTTCTCGTGATAGGTAGTTTTGAGTGCCTTAAATACACGCTTTGTCGATCTAGACATCTTAATAAGTGAAGAACATAATCGTCGTTAAATTGTTGAGTGAATCTGGATTGTATGAATGGTCGGTCGACCACTTTTAGGTGTGATTAATCAATCGCTTATGAAAGTTGTCGGCCGGTTGTCTTTGAGTAGTACTAATCCTTATTGTGTTCATTGGAGTTAACATTCCATTTATTCTTATATAATATACCTGGTAAAAGTCTCCATCTTATTCAAAAGGCAATTATCTTCTTGTTTTAATTAAAGCAAAGCTTTAAACACATCAAAATAAAACAAAAATATAAAAGAAAAAGGAAGAAGAAAGGAAAAAAATGAAGTCCGAACAATGGCTTGATCTTGCGATGGATAAGAATTGATCTAGATACTATTTAGTCGACAATTATCCATAATGCTTTTTATCAATCAAAAGGGTAGTGACAAAAAACGAATATATAATGTGACAAAAATGTCCCTTTCAAGTCTCAATATGTACACGCACCTTCTTGGAAGGTTTCAAGGGCCAAAAAAGGTTGCACTATTGCATTCGGTGGCTCAAATTAATCTGCGGCAGTATACGTACCACATCCGTTTCATCAAAACCACACGTCCGCCCGCAGCTTTTATTTTATTTTAATTTTATACTTTAGTTGCCAAAAATGATGATTTAATGACAATTAAACGTAATTTAATTACAATTCATAAAAGTCACCCAATTTGCCCCTCACGGGTCAAACACCACCCCCAACCACTCGTTTAGTCGTCAATTCTTTCTTGAAGCCAAGATTCCTCTTCATTTTGTGAGGACTACAATCAAAGTACTAATTCCTCGTTTACAAGTTAGCCGACTTAAATGTTTCAATAATCTCTCAATTTATACCACGGCACGATTTGCATCAGTCCGAGGGTTTACTTAGTGCGCATCCGAGGGTAGGGGACTGCGGATTCCCCCGTCATTAAAAAAAAGTGCTTTAAAATACTAACTGAATTTGTCTATTTGCATTACATTTGTTACCCTCAACAATTCGTTACCTTATTGATTAACGTAGCTAACGGATATAGGGTGAGGCAACTCAAACCCATTAAACAAATGCCAATTCATAATTACATCCCGGTCATACATTTTTAGCCGATTTGGGCTGGAAAGGTTAATTGACATTTGTTTTAATTAAGTGAGTTGCAACGCCCAATATTTTGTTGGTTTCATTAGCGAATAAGATAACGGATTGTTGAGAGTGGTCGAAGTACAAATGGGCCAAGTTCAATGAGCATTGTGAAATATTTTGAAGTTTGATGAATAAACAGTGAAAATTGCATAAATTGGGTGATTATTTAAAAAAAAAACTCCAAATCAGACATCATATTCAACGAATAAATATTATTATGAATGTAAATTTTTCTCAATCAAAATGTAAAGAAAGTAGAGTCTGAAATAGAAAAAAAAACATGTTAATCAAAATCACCCATCAAACTTGTACATATTTATCTTTAGGGAATAAATAGACTTACTTTAAAAATAAGAAACTTTTAGTAATTATAAGTTATGCCAAACATTTTCAGAAGATACTTTTTAAAAAAATAGGAAATTTTCAACTTTTAGTTTTCATAGCTGACCTTTACAAAATATTACTAACCTACCCTTCACCTTTTTAAATATCAGACAAGGGCTGACCCATTAAAGGCCCAGTGGGCCCTCAATTTTTATATTTACAAAGTAGTCCATAATTTTATCTCGCCCCCACTGAAATCAAGTTTCGGGCCTTTTGGTTGTCTCTTCTTTTTTGGGCTTCCTTCGTCATTTGTTTGTTTATTTTCTCTTTATTTAAAGTAATTCATGGTAAGATTGTCTTCTTATGTGATCCTAATAGTCAAATTGAGAAGAATCTATCTATAGGGATGTGATTTATAATTAAGTAAAGGTTGGGATGGTTGATTCTAAAAAAAGGTTGAGGGTAAAGTTTTAATAGTTTATAAAGATTTGGGATGAAAAGTGTAAATTTCCCAAAATTATATACTAGCTTAGGGCAATTTTGTCAACAGAAGTGACCTTCCAAGCATTGGTGTAATGGGGTATGGGTTCTTGCTGACGCATCAATCGAAATGCGTAAAAATGGATAAAACCGAGGGCACTTCTATGGAAACTCACTCTATAAATAAATAATGAAACTGCTCTTCAATCTCATTTCCATTTACAGAAATAGCAAAAACTCTGTTCAATCACTGTTTTAACATATTTTCTTAAAAATTTCCCCTTGTTTTCAGTGTTTCCTTTGTTTTTCAAGAAACTTTGATCTTCTTTTGCAGCTTTCCACTGAAGCTTCTGATACTGATTTTGTGGTTTTAATTCCTCACTATGTTCAGCCCGGAAACTATTCCAAGAGATATTAGTAGTAGCGGTTGTTTTCTACTCCCCAATAATAACCGTGTGAAGCATGTTTCTGATGGAGAATTCTTGAAAAGTAGTGGATTGGCCCGATATCGTTCATCTCCAAGCTCGTTCTTCACAACCCTTCTCGAATCTGGTAATGAATCCGATAGTATGTTTTCTGCCCTAATGAATGAGATTCGGGATGATGATCTGAACCAGAGGAATCAACTGCTGTATTCTTCTGGTGGGGCTATGAAGCAAGAAACAGAAGCCGGTACACTAAAGAATGGATCTACTTCACAAGTGGTGTATGAAAGTGGAGGTGCTATTGTGGGATCATATTCTATTGGAATGGAGAATCAAGTTCAAGTGAGGATGAATAATGGGAACGGGAACGGGAACGGGAATTGCTCAAATCTTGTCAGGCAAAGCAGTTCTCCTGCTGGATTTTTCTCTGGTATATTCTTTTCTAGTTTTCTAGCATATTTTGCTGGATTTATTTCAGCCTGGATTTAGCTGTTTTTATTAGTTACACAAGCTTGGAAAATAGCATAGATCCATCCATGATTCTTCATGGTTGACTTTTAGCCTATTTTTAAATGTGTGAAGAGTCGAAGAAAGTGGAAAACAAAAATGACTAAATCTTGTTTCAGATTAATTCCTCCATAAATAATTCTGGTTATCTTATAATTAGGGAGAATGAAATATGTACAGTACAAAATTTGTGGTGAAAAAAATATTTTATGAGAAAGGAAGAGATTTCCCTTTTTTGGGGGATATTTTCTACAGCAACAGGTCTCCCTCTTTCCCTTTTTTGGGGGACTCATATGCTTATTCTTTGTTGTTTTTGTCCCATGGAAGGACCGGTTGAGGTTGATTTTAGTTAATGATGCTGAATAGACTTTTCCTGTACATGGATTATGGATTACCTTACTAGTCGAAACCCCCAATGACAAAGTTAATTAAGCTCCTTATACGGACGAAATGTACAGGAATTTTTACAGATGGTGAGGTGACAACACTAGAGTAGCTGGTTTGAAGTTATTTTTTGTCCAATATCCAATGAAATTGTACCAACTTACAATCTGTCAATCTGTCTGTCAAAAATCCCTTTACATGTAGCATCATTGATGATAAAGTAAAGATACCTTCTTTACTAATGGTATAATGAATAAAATTTTAGTTTTTTTCTTTATTAGTAGTGTCTATAAAAGGCACCCTACAAAACAAGCCATAAATGGATTCTGTGGCTAAATTCTTTACCATAGAACACAAGTTGAAAATTACTTGATTTGTATCTCCAATAGCAATGCGAACAGATGTTTCAAGCAGCTCTCTTGTTAGTATTTCGTTTTATTGGTTTCTCATATAATTGAGAATGGATAGCTAAAAGCTTCTTTGTTTGATCTCAGCTTATGGTGTAGCTGGAGAAGTAGGAAATTACAGAGTTGGTAATGGGACAAGTGCTGAAGCCCATTCATCAGCAAATGGTTTGAACAATTACATGAACTTCTCATCCAGTTCACCTTCTAGATCGAGGTTCATGCCCAGCATACCAGAAAATGGAAACGAAGACATAAGCATGCATAATTCCGACAACGGGCAATGGAGAAATGCTAATAGTGCTAATGGCAAAGAATATGATGCCACCTTTTCGAAAAGCATGTGGAATGAATCTTCCTTCAACCAGTTAAAAAGAAACAGAGATGGCGACTCAAAGATGTTCTCTAATTTCTGTGGATCAAAAAATCCGGTAGGCTATATTTGCACTTTGATTTTCGTCTTGTTCCCTAACACTACATGCATTGCTAATGTTATATTTCAAATCAGAGTGTGGAAACTAGGAACAATAATCAAGGTCTAACACACCATTTAAGCTTGCCAAAAACTTCTGCTGAAATGGCTGCGGTAGAAAAGTATCTACAATTTCAATCAGACACTGTTCCTGTTCAAGTTCGTGCCAAAAGAGGTTGCGCTACTCATCCACGAAGCATTGCAGAAAGGGTAATTTTTTCTTTCTCATATTTAAGTTCACTTGGTTAGTCCTTCGAATAGTATTTAACTTTTTGTTGCTTAATTTGTAGATGAGACGCACACGGATTAGTGAGAGAATGAAGAAGTTGCAAGAACTATTTCCTAATATGGACAAGGTAAATTTTGTAGTCTCAATTGTGTAACTGCCTTTTTCGTTTCCTGGAAATCACTAGGAATTTAGTTTTTTCTGGTGCCATTTCTTGCAGCAAACGAGCATAGCTGATATGTTAGGTTTGTCCGTTGATTACATTAAAGACCTTCAGAAACAAGTCGAGGTAACTAAACAGATGATACTCATCACTCAAAAGATTAACATTCACACGGAATCTTTCACCAACTTCATCTTTGCTCATTTTATCTTTTCCTTTCTTTTGTAGACTCTCATGGACAAAAAAGCAAAGTGCACGTGTTCTAGTAAATCAAACCAAGCTAATTCTACAATGTGAGTTGCTCTGTACATACTATAATAGGCAACATGATGGGGTTTCATATGCATCCAATCCTTTGGATGTTCTGCTGTCAGACACATGCATAGACATTCTCGTCTATGTAGATCAACACATAATGTTTCAAAGAGGAGACGAACTTTACATTTTCAATGTATTCAGGGGCCTCGTATGGGGAAGACTGGTGTAATCTATAGTGCATTATCTAAATTCATTTAGTTGTCGTACATTTAATTCGTGTAATGCCAGTTTTGTTATGGGATGATGGAAACTCGTCCTTTTTGTAGTCTTTTTGGATTCGGCAGCCTTAGACCCAAAGAGTTCGGGGAAGGTGGTAGGCTACCTTCGAGTTGATGTTTTCAACTCAGGGTCAAAAACTTGTCTTGCTTACGGAGACGAGTAATATTCAATGATTCGGGTCTTCTTAGAATTATGCCAGACATCTTGTGGCAAATTTGGGTCATCAGTTATTCCATAAAGATGGTGTAATCTCTTAGAAAACTATTACTACACAAAGGACTCTCCAGAATTTGTAGAAGTAGCTCCATCTGATCTTGGAGAATAAAGTTGGTTTAACGGGACAACTTTTGAACATAATATATTATGTTTTCAGTTATTCATAGGATGAACACTAAGATTCTGATGAGGTATACCGATTGTTGTAACGAATATTCTGAATAACTTTGATTTATAAGAAAAGTCAGTCAGTTGGAAGGACTCTAATTGCAATTGCACTGCATTAATGGGAACAGTCCACTGATAGATGAGCAATAAAAGAAACAAGAAAAAAAAAAAGAAAAAAAAAGGGAAGGAAAATCTCTGAGTTTCTATATATGAATGTGAATTTGTAATATGAGAATACAAAGTATAAATGCTGAAAAATTTATCAGACTACCCCAATTACACAAGCACGATAAAACATCAAGACAAACTCTAAGAATTTTGATTCAATCTCTGAATCTAAGTACATTAGAGTCTTGTTGGACAGTTCCAATCATTTGTCGAAGAAGAAGCTCTCTTTGGGAAGAACTCACCAGGTTCTTAGACGGTAAAGATTAAACCATGAAGAATAGACCGAGTATACTTACTAAATGGCTGGTAACTATGGCTCATGTGAATTACAAAATAACAATTTCACAGAGACAAGTACGAGGTATCTGTTTTATCCCAATAAAAAGTGTGTTTGAGTATAAAGATGTCTTCTTCTCCCTTGGAACTAAAAGTTCTTAATGCAGTTCGACATAAAATTTTCCTCTACTAGCTTTCTACTTTAAAAAGTAGGTTTAGCTTCAATTTTGAAAATCAATCATATGTTTTTGTGTTGCAAGAGCAATAATTGATTGAAAGAGTGCTGCAACAAGGAAGAAGTCTCAAAGTTTACGATACCTAGCTTTTGCATAAATTCCTTGGCAACCATTGTAGCTTTATGTTTTTGTACATTTCAACCTTGACTCGTTCTTCAAATCTACTACACTTTGTCTATTGACCTCCTCCTCTTCTTCTTCTACATTTTTTTTTTCATATTTATTGGATTTAATGCTATTGTATTGTCATTTAGACTGGTGTTAAAAACCAGTGGTGCTACATTGCAATATACTTGTAGAAGGTCATTCAATCCCAAGAGGGAAAACAAGTAAAAGATTAGACAAAGAAGAATACTTCTATAGTACTCTTCTAAGAGATCTCTGTAGAATACCATCTGCATCCTGTCTTTTCTTTGCTATCTTCCCTCCCAAACCCAAACCTAACTTGATTATCGGAGATGAACATCGCCACCATCTCCTTTAGAAGTTGTTACACGAACTAGTGTTTATTCATGACTTATAGTTATTTAAGTAGAAAAAGAAGAAAAACCTCCGAACCAGCAGACAGATCACTTCCAACTCAATCAAATTTAAAATGGACTCATAGTTATCAGTTGAGTAATTTGATGTACTTTAGTCATTCCCTAGCGTAGAACCTTGTAATATAAATATTGATGAGGACATCATCCTTCATCGGGCCATGTGTTTGGGCCATTTTATCTTCTATTTATTTTTATGCCTTATGCTTTATTGAGTTTGTATATGGGTTTGGCCCAAGCCCACGTTTATTATTTTGTTATTTATATGGTTGTAATTGGATTAAAAATCAGTTGATGAATGCAATGAATTAAGATTGGCTTTGCCCACGTTCTACTTCACTCTCTTCCCTCTTTTTCCTTTGGCTTCTTCCTCTTTTGCTCCTCTTTTTCATCTTATTCTCAGCTCTTCTTTCTTCTTCCTATGGTTGCAGTCTGTTCTCTATCTATCCTACATCAAATATGATACCCAAGACAATCAAGAAAAGTTTGGTTGTTCATTTCTCAAATACATTCCCTACTTTAGAACTCTACAATTAGAGCATTATAATAAAAGAAAATAAGAAATCCTGTAGCATGTACATTTTGGCATTGGACTTAAAAAACAGAATTGGGTATGAGATACCGAAGAAGCTTGAACCAGAGACGCTCTGTAGGGTGCAGCCGATAGTCATTACAGCCAGTTCCGTTGTTCTTGAGTTCAAACAATGGCAGCTCTAGGCTGATTAGATTTCTCAATTGTGTACTTCTCTTCTAATGGATAAACTTCCCAGCAACCATTCGTCTAGTATGTGTGATGTACTTCAGGTATATGTGCAATTTTCCAGTATTCTTCACCAAGTTTTTCTGAAGAGATTGGCTCAATAAATTCATCTGGCATGTCAAAAAATTCAAGAACTTTTAGGTCAGTGAGACACTCGATTCCTTCAGGCACACCCACCAACAAGTTACATCGCTGAATGATAAGCTTCTCTAGATGAGGCATGGCTCCCTCCTCAATGATCACCTGCTTCAAGTTTTCTAATTTGTCAAGACCTAATAATTTCAGCTTCGAAACTTTCCAGCCTTAAAACACAGTTTCTCCCCCACATAACTTGCAAGAAATTCAATATGGACTAGATTAGGCATATCTTGGAGATATTCAAGTGGATCGTCCCTCAATTGACTCCATCTGAAGTATACTTTCACCAGGCTTGGAAGAGATTGTATCCATTTCGGGAAGTTTGCTAAGTGCTCTGTCAAATATAATCGTTGAAGGGAAAGAGGAGGAGAAGACAGGTGACTAAGATACAAGCACATCTCCTTCTATTGATCTTGGATCTAATGAGCACAGCTTTTGGAGCTTCTCAATGCACATAGTGCTACTTCATCTTCGGTTCTCAACTTTGTAATGCTAACTCTTCTCAGTTCACTCATCATGGCTATTTCTTTAAGTGCTACGCTTCCTGGATATGCATGAATAAAGCCGAGTTTCTGCAAGAGTTTCAAGCTGCCCATTCCTTTAAATACTTTGAAACCAGCATTCTACAGCTTTCAAGCAACTGAAGAATGCTCAAAATGGATTGGGGATCTTCCGCGTGAAAAGTCAGAAAGGAACAGAGTCTGGCGCCATAGTGTTTGACATCTGCATAGAGGTGTCTTACTCTTCTCAGCCATATCACGTCCTGCTCATTGTTGCTTGTTATGAAATTCTGATCGCTTGATTTTGAAAGAATAATCTCCCAATAAAAGTCATGGATACAGCTCGTTTTGATGCTTCCATCATCATTGGTTGTCACCGGACTAAGCAAGCTTGTGTTGACGAGCTCATTGAGGTCCCTTGTGCAACTTCTTCCACCGTTCTTCGAACTTTTTGTTTCACAAAACCTTCTGCTATCCAATGTCGAACCAGTGTATTGTGTTCAATCTCATAGGCCTCCGGATAATTGCTCTAGTACAGAAAACATGGTTTGAGGTAATACGGTAGATAATTGAAACTGAGTAACAAAATGATTTTCATACTCTCAAGGTGATCATTCCCTTCTAGTTCAGAGCCGAGGCTGCAATTGAGCTTCTTCCATTCTTCAACGTTCTCCTTTTTGTTAACAGCACCCCACTAATAGAAACAATGGCAAGTGGCAATCCTCCACATCTTTTCAAGATGCTTTTGCAAATTTCAACCAAGTGCGTAGGGCACGGCTTCCCCCTGAATGTCTTCTGGCAAAATAGAATCCAGGACTCTTTTTCAGACAAAGGATTCGACTCATACACATAAACATTAGTGTCTTGGCTACAAGATAAAGCCACATCCATGAGCCGCATTGTCAGGATGACATGACTCCCATTATTCTCATTAGGTAAGACATATCTGATAGCTTCCCATGCTAGAATACTCCAAACATCATCAAACTCTTGCACATACCTGTGAATATATGGACATCAAAACAGTACATCTAAGAACACTAGATTACACTCATTGGATTGCTGAAGTTAGGGAAGAAATAAGAAGCTTGAAGGAACAAAAAGAAACAAAATTCACCAAGGCATTTATAAACTATGATTTTATATACTTCAAAGAAGACTAGTTAGATTTGAATTTCTAGCTATAATATTATTGAAATTGATCTCCTGCCCCGAGTGGGCAGACTAAAAACAAGAGAATCTTGAGAATCATAAGTAAGGTTCTAATGCCATGTCAACAGCTATAAAAGTTTTTATTTTGCCGACTGGCACACAGGAGTCAGGCCTAATAACATTATTAGCAAAACCTATAAATTGACTCCTAGTATTCGAAAACACCTAGACTAGTTCAAAACAAAGCACATAGTTCCACAGTACCTTCTATCGCGCAAGAAATCTTTGATTATAGCTTTGAGCTTGTTATCGTTCATGGAGCTCAAATTTTCAGGAGTTTTTTTCATCTGTTCAAACAGTTGCTGAATTGTGTCTTTCAGGAGCTCCTCCACCTCGAACGACTGTGAAACCGTAATCCATGCGTGGTTCTGGAAGTGTTTCTTCACAGCAAAATCATCATACACCTTAACCAGAGTGGTTTTCCCCAAACCTCTCATTCCCACCACTGATATCCCCTTAGGCCGTGATTCTTCCTCCACAAGCCACCGTATTGTCTGCCTTTTCGGACTTTCAATCCGGGCGAGCTGGGTTTCTTCTAATAAAAGTGCATCCCATCGACAATCTGTCCCTCTATTACTCACGCATCGCGATGATAAACCTTCCCCGGGAACATTAAACCTATAACTATACCTCCCATGTCCCTCATCAGTATCTATAATTCTGGATTTGATATTTTGAATTCCAGAATCAATTTTATAATGGCTTCTCAGATTTCGCATAGAGAAAATTAATTTCCTCAGAAAACCATCACTTTCGAGGTGGAATTGCAGCATGAAATCATCTAGAATGTCTTCAGTATCATAAGTTGTTAGTTTATTTGTACTCGACATTTTGAAATAAAATAATAATAATTTCTTTTTTCAATAAATTGTTTATATTAATTTGAGCTTACATTTTATTCATTGATTGACTTGCTATTATAAATCAAGTGCTTAAGTTGTTAAATACGGAAAGATCTGATTTATAATTTGATCTAAAGTTTATTGTCCACACTTGATAAATAAAGACGAGCACTTTATTTTGATAAGATTGTTTCAATTTTTTTTAAAGTTGATCTTGACTTTAGCAATAAAATTGATTGTATATTTTGGAATGTATAGGACTGGACAATGTAAAATTAATTTATGGAATTGATAACTTGAATTTAATTTCACTTCATTATTGTACGTAATGTCTTAATCCTGAGCGAGTAATGAACTTTGATTTCTAGCTTGAAGTTTTTTGAGGTATCAATGAGTAAGATTAAATTGTTAATCAAAATCTCGATGCTGTGGGAATTAAACTGAAATAATTGGAGAGCATATATTCGCAATATGGAATCCATAACATATATATAATAGGCATGATCATGACCTTAATAGATTTTCTAATAAATAGTTAAATCTGAGCTCAATAATTCGACTTGATTGTTGACTTAATATTATGATGTGATTACATGGAACCATCAAATAGAAAATGGGATTGAGGGTTAATGTACATGTGGAAAAGGGGCATTTTGATCATTTCACCCAGTTCCAAATATTCAACGTGATTAACGGGGGTAATACGTAAGAGCAGTTTGTCAGAGGATGTAATTATTGTAGATTTAGTAATTTTAATTAAATTAAGAGTGCAATCACGTTCCTTTAGTGGAATAAAACTTGATTAATAAATTATCTAGATCGATAAACAGTTGACCGGGTCAAGATTAATTTATTGGAGCTTGATTTAATTGAGTCCGTTTGGTTCATTCAGTGGCTTCAAAAATAAGAACCGGAAAAAATTATAAAAGTTATAATTTATTAACTATAGAAATATATAAAAATTAATTAAATCGGAATGTGTCTTGCATGTGACAAACATGTGACATTTAGATATGGAGGTTATGATTTGGATGAGTACAAAAATGAATCTTTTTTGTTGAGAACCTTTATCCAATCAAAAGATAGAGTCATTTTGGGACTGGAAGTCTTGTAAATCAAATCAATATAAGTAGACATGTACATTCTCATTTGGGTTTAACAAATAAATATATATGCAAAATAAAATTCTAGTGCCCATACACAAAGAAAAAAAAATCCATACAATATTTTTGAGTTCTTGAAGAACACTGGAGAAAGCCAAAAGGTTTGAATGAGAATCAAGAAGATCAAACAAGGAGGCTTGAAGGTGGAATCAAGGAGATCAAAGATCAAAGAAATTTTTATTTTTATTTATTTTTATTATTATTTTGGTAAAGCACGTAACGAGTTTAACTTCTAAAACACCTTTGTGTTATTCATGTTCCAAATTATTTAATTCTTGTTCGTGCACAATTGAATAAAATCCATTGAATTTTCCCAACATAAGCAACAGCTTGGACTTGCTTAACCCAGACTTTGAACTCTGGATCATCATATTCAGCAGCATCAGCAACTCTGAGGAAAGCAATCATTCTCTCAAGTTCATCCCTGATATATTCAACTTCCTGCCTGACATTTTTGCCATATTCACCTTTTCCTCTAATAAGATTGTGATTTTGTCAAGAACAAATGTCACTGCAAACTCCGCCATCAAATAACATAAATAAAACTCTTTTTGAGACAACTCTCTTATGGGGTTTGGTGGTTGAAAGTTCTTTCTATGGCTGACTTTGTGAGTTGTTACATTAGTTGTGAGTGGTATGTATAAATTGAATAAGATGCACAAGAAACTTCTAAAGACGTAACTGTTTTGTTTCCGAAATTGAAATTATAATTAGAAAGATAAATCGTAACATAAACCTAAAATATTTCTATGGGGTCGAATCTTATCTTTTTCTAAAATAACATTTTCCGTATTGTATCATATGTCGTTTTCTTTTCCATTTTTGTTTTCATATCAATGCGCCTAAAAGAATCAACACTTGTGGGAACTGTGCGGTTCATGTACTTTCTCGCTTTGACGACTTGCATCTAGAATTGGTTAAAAGTCATCTTCTTTGGGCTCCAATTGTGGAAGGAGGGTGTAAAGGAATAAAAAAAGATTAAAAAAAAATAAAATTTAATAATGTTGTCAAGAATCGGGCTTTGACTATATCGAGTTGGTTGATGATACATTTCTTGTTATTTGTTAAGCAATTTCTTAAGAAAATGTGGAGATTTTATTAGTATATAAAGAAATGACGAAATAATAGGAATGATAACCCACTTGATGCAAATGCCTTTAAATAATTGAATTATCATATAAAATTGCATGAAAAATGTTGTGCTTACAGTGCTGTACACGTACAACATTCTCAAAATCGTAGAGTCTGCGCTTATTTTAATCGTGGACCTCATTTATATATGAGAGGGTTATCAATCATTATGTCGAAATTGCTGTACTTATAGCAAGATTCAAAATTGCATAGTCTAAAAGAGGGCAACACAATTTGTTGTTGATGGAGTTTGACAAAATAACGAAAAAGTAAAAGAAATCCAGAAAAAGACAAAAGACAACAGTTTCTTTAAGATTTTCATAATTTCAGCAACCATGAAATATAGTGACCTCTAACCAATCATGCCATTGTAGGTGTCTCGAAATTCTGGAGTGTAAAAAATAGAGCATATTTAAATTTAGAAACGTGCTAGATGTACTAAATTGTTTACAAAATGCTTTACTACATGATGACGTGGCATAGGTTTGAAAATTCAACATCTCGGCTGCCAATTAAAAAAAAAAGAAAAAAAAATAAAAAGGCATCATTTTTGTTCTCTAAACGTTTCCATTCCATTGCCCAATCTCAGAGCATGTCTGGCCATGACGAAATGGAGCCACCTGAAAACCCATTCCAAGATGCCAACGACTTGGACCATGGGGCCCACACATCGTTGAACCCATTATTCTTACCCCCATTTGCGGTCGTTGCTAAGAACTGTTATGAAGACGAAGATGAAGTGGAACCCGGCAACTCCCACACAGACAACTGCGACGCCGACGACAACATGGGTAAAATGTTTTCAACTTAAGCTTTACTTTGTTGAAATTAATAGAAGTGAAAATAGGTAGTTTGCTGAAGATATTACTTTCTGTCATTTTTGCTGAACATACTATTGCTGAAGAAAACGAAAACGAGAAGAGTTGACATTACTTTTTGTTGAAGATATTATTTTTTGCATCATGTACTTTGCTCAAAGCCAATATGTTAAAATAAACACCTTTAATTAATGAAATAAATTAAAGCCTTTACCAATTTTGTTGGATTCTATACGGCTAATTTGAGAGGGAAAACATGAAGTTGTTTAGAGACCAAACCTTTGTTGTTGCCCAAGTTTTTTGCTGTTGCCGAATTTTATGTCTTCTCATTTGTGAGCATTTGCCTTAGCCTCCATAGATTGTAAGTTCAAATAATTGTTTTTTTGTCGTAAATGAAGGATATTTGAAAATTCATTCGTCCGAAGATGACAATCCGATTGATATGAGCTTAGGAGAAGAAACTGATATTATTGTTCCCAGTGTCGAAATGAAGTTTCAAGATGAAAATGTGGTATTCAAATTTTACAAGAACTATGCGTACCAAATAGGTTTGCCGGTGAGGAAAAGATCTTTGAGGAAGGTGATGACGGCGTTGTACGTTATGTAACTTTTACTTGTAGTCGAGAGGGTCGTCAAATCAGTGGTACAAATACAGTTCTGAAGCCTCAACCAACAATGCAAATAGGATGCAAAGTGAGATTGTAGGCATGTTCAGAACTTAATGGCACGTGGCGTATTAACACTATCCATTTGGAGCATAATCACAGAACAAGCCAATCCAAATCAAGGCTATATCGATGTAATCGAGAAATAAGTGCACACATAAGAAGACAACTTGAAATAAATGATGTAGATGGTATAACATTACATAAGAGTTTTAACTCAGCCATAGTTGAAGCCGGTTGTTATGACAAGATTACATGTGTTGAGAAAGATTATAGAAATTTTATCGACAAAGTTCGATGATTACGACTTGGTGAAGGAGACGCTGCTGCAATACAAGCTTATTTTTTGAAAATGCAAGCAACTAGTCTTGGTTTCTTCTTTAGTATAGACTTGGATGACGAGGCCCAGTTGAGGAACGTGTTTTGGGCAGATAATAGGTGCAGGCAAGCGTGTAGGGGATTCGGCGACATAGTTACATTTGACACCATATACTTGACAAACAAATACGAAATGCCTTGCGCTCCTTTTGTTGCGGGTGAACCATCATAGACAATCAGCTCTACTTGGATGTGGCTTGATCTCAAATGAAGATACAAGGACTTTCATATGGCTTTTCACGACATGACTTCAATGTATGCATGATCAAGCTCCAAGGGGAATAATTATAGATCAAGATCGTGCTATGCAGAATGCAATTGAAATTTTGTTTTCGAACACAAAGTATAGATGGTGCCTGTGGCATTTACTAAAAAAGTTACCTGAAAAATTCGGCAGCGATAGATATAAAGCTTCTATTCTTGCTTCTGTACATGAGTTGGTATATGATGTGCAAAGTTGTGAAGAGTTCGAACAAGGTTGGAATAAGATGCTCGAAGTTTATGAATTGCTAGAACATACTTAGCTGACTAGTCTATACAATGAAAGAAGTCAATGGGTGCCATGCTTTTTTAAAACTTCAATTTGGGTGCGTATGTCAACCACACAACAAAGTGAGGGTATTAATGCATTTTTTGATGGTTATGTTCATTCAAAAACATCCCTGAAGCAATTTGTGGAGCAATATGAGCGTGCTTTGAGAAGTAATTTGAAAAGGAGTTTCAGGCCGATTTCAAATCATTTTCACACATGGTCCCATGTGCGACTAGGTACGAAATGGAGAAGCAATTTCAATCTGTTTACACAATTGCGAAGTTTAAGGAGTTCCAAGAACAGTTTACCAAAAAGATATATTGTGAAGTCTTATCCATTCATGATTCTTACTTGTACACTACATACGATGTACATGAGGACATTATTACCAATGAATGTAGGAAGACAAAAATGTTTAAAGTGTGCTTTCATAGAGATGAATGTGATTTCGAGTGCAGTTGTCATCTGTTTGAGTTCCGAGAAATTATTTGTAAGCACGCAATTGCAATTTTGATACGAAACCAAGTGAAATTAGTTTCTGAAAAGTACATTTTGAAGAGATGGATGAGGGATGTGAACAGACCATACACAAGGGTTTCAATCAATTATGATGGTTGGATTAGTACTCCAGATCAAGTTAGATGTGAGCAAATGTGCAATGCGTTTACGAAGTTAGCTGACTTGGTAGCACATGAAGAGTCATGATCACATGAAATTATGGAGTGGATTTAATTTCGAACAGTCGAGTCGTCGACGTTGAAGTCTGTGACTATGGGCTTCCAATGCTTTAATGAAGCAAGAAAATCTACTAGCGAAATCATCTTGGACCCGAAGTACACGAAAAGCAAGGGAGCTCCTAAAAAACTTTGCCGAAAAGGATATCTAGAAGTTGGTTCTAAAAAATCAAGGACTTGTCATAAGGTATGATTTTGAGCCAATTTATTTTATTATGCAACAAAGTCAAGTATATCAAAAAGGCAGAAAGGCAAAATTTCACCCCCATCAATGTTCAGGTATTTGAGTGTGACAAAATACAAGCCAACTTTGTAGAGTTTAAGTTTCCATGCAAAATATTTGAGCATGACTTTATTAATTCCATTTGTCAAGATATTCCGCTAACAACCACCTTTCCTTCCCAACAAGTTGGCATAAAGGAGAGCGTTGGTGAATTTGATTTAGGGGTCTAAAGCATCCAGAGAAATTTGGCTATATATTTTTGTAAACAGTTAACTGACATGCTCCACATGGGTTATTTTGATATAGGGGTTTAAAGCATTTAGAAAAAGTTGGTTGTATATTTTTGTAAATAGTTAACTGTCATGTTTTATTTTGGGGTCTAAAGATGGTCTAATTTATACATTTTGTCTGATGGCTAATTGGAGTGTTTGATGTGGTGATTAGTTGGGGGCTTACTACATAGAAACTTTTTATTTAATTAATGAAGCTGGTTCTCATTCAATGCATTTCTATTGTCATATTATCATGCTAGTTGGTTGTTCATTGTTTTCAGTATTGCTTGAAACATAACAAAGTGATATCAAAACTTTTTCCAACTAAAATCACAGTACATAATGGTCATGACATTATCAAACACCTAAAATTGATATGGACCAAGCAAATTACACAATTCGATTCTTATTCATGAAACCAAATAATTACAATAAGTCAAGCTCATCCAACTATACATATTTCATTTTAAATCTTCCAAAACTCGTTTCCCCTTGCGCATCTTTATGTTAAGCAAAATCTCCGAGTTCCTCTCCTCGGTTATTTTTGCACACGTTTACACCATATGGGACAAATTTAGAAAACTTGAAACTCATTCCACTTGATTCACCATGCAATAGATACTCCTTGTCGGGCAAAACTTTAGAAAACTTGAAAAATCAATAATCGCGGGTGCTACAATGGACAAACTTCCCTTTATTGTTGGAATTCCTTTCAATGTCAGATTCCCCATGTTCCTCCTGGCCATTCCACACAGTCTGAATCAATTAACTCGCGTGCTGAGACAAAAAAAAAATAAAAAAATCCATGTCAATAATCTAGTGGATAGACTTCTATGAGGTCCTAACATCACAAAAATGAAGCATTCCATTGCTTCAATAAACTAAACTCAAGCATTATAAATGTACACACAAAAAATCCATTCCAGACGAGAAATTGTATGAGATCCTAACATCACAAAATTGAATCATTCCACAACTTCAACACTTAGCAGTATCAATGTACAATAAAACCCATTCCACACAACAATTCGCTAACACCACATAAATGAAGCATTTCACAACTTCAACAAACTAAATTCAAGCAGTATAAATGTACACATAAAATCCATTCCACACAAGAATTCGTATGAGGTCCTAACACCACATAAATGAAGCATTCCACAACTTCAATAAGCTAAACTCAAGCAGTATAAATGTACACACAAAACCCATTCCACAACTTCAACAAGATAAACTCAAGCAGTATAAGTTGTCCAAACCCACTTTGTTTGAAATGGAGTTTACCAAGTATACTCACTGAGTCATTGATTTTTCAAAATAGCAGGTAAAGCCCAAAGCTTTTCAGAGATAATACTAGTTGCAGTATCCTTATTATAATGTGTCACCAGTGATGGGCGTGGGTGATTCACAGTTGGAAACGGGGCAAGGTAAGGAATTAGCGCCCTCAGTGTCTTTCACACTCGAAACGGAAAGTGAATGGCTACTAACCTGGAGAGAGCTATATCTCAGGCGACCGTCTTTTCTTCGTCGGAGCTATATGTGCCAGTGAGATTTCTTTAGTTGGACCTTGGAGGTGCAAATCGGGAGAGAGGAGTGCAAGATGAAGGGGAGATAGTTTGACTTCGAGCAGAGTGCTTCTGGCCAATTTTGGGGGTTTATTCAAATTAATTTGTGAGCTGGCGAGATTTTCATGGTATTTTGGATTTGAATGGGCTACCGATATTTTAACTACAAAATATGACATGTCAGCATTTTTTGTATAAGTTTCGGGAATGTATTGTGTACATATATCTTTTTCCTTAAATTTATATCAAGACACCATAAGCTGCTACATGAATAGAAACTTATAAGATAACAACAAATTTCTCCAAAGCAAAGTAACTTATTTTAAAGTTTGTTGGACTAAATATTCTTAATAATTAAACATTATCGTAATAAATTCAATGGATATGTCTATGGATGGCAATCGGACTCGTTGGCTTGAACCACTCGTGGCTCAGTCCTAAAAAAGCCCGAGCCTGCCCGACTTAAGGCTCGGGCCGAGCCCCATTTTGGGGTGTTGGGCAAAGTTCGAGCCAGCCCGTGTGGCTTGTCGACTTGGGCTCACGGGCCTATATTTAAAAAAAATAAAAAATTCATAAAGGCAGCAACCTGTTCTATTGAAAAAAAGGTACACTCGACTGCCTTTTTTAACTTAAAAAAAATACCAAAACCAAAATCAAAACTAAAATTGGCTCAGGGCTTCCAGGCAGAGCCGAAAGCTCTGCTCAAACCTAATTTTTTTTACTGAACTTGCTCAAGCTCAAAAAAAAAAAACTCACTCATTTTACTCGAGTCGAGCCCGAATCTCGAGTTTCGGCTATCAAACCAGCTCGGCTCGACTGGATTTGTTAACATTTCTAGGTATGCTGTATACCTTTTTAAAAATTCCAAGCCAACCAAAATGCTTAAGTATTGGTCTAACAACCAACTAATCGACATCTCTTTAGATCTTAGAACAACATTAGACTTCAAATTAAGGTATATATGCCAAATATTGCCAATTATTTGAGTGGTTTCAAGTGGGTCTATCTAGTCATGTATAGATTGATCAAAATTTTCAAGAATGTGAAGGTAGAAAGGAGAGGTATAACCTTAAGTACCACCATTTTTCCACCTACCACTACCGTTTGAGTCCCTACATGAACCTTTAGTGAAATAATTTGATAAGTGCATTTTGTGCACTTATTTAGGCCACATTATTAAATTTGTATGTCGTTAAATTAGTGATTTTATACTTAATTTGAGTTAATTTTCGTTTATTTTAGTGTTTGACTCGTTTGGAATAACTTGGAAAAGAAATAAAAATCAATTGGCCATTGGATGAAAATTTTGGGGATCAAAGTCTACACAATTGATGAATTCAAGGACTACATGGTATTAACTTGGAGGATTGGATGACTTGAAGAAAATGTTAAATTAATTGGGCCTCAATTGGATTCTTACTTGGAATTAAATTGTACTTTTAATTGAAATCAAGTTGAATCTAAATTGAACTTTTGATTGGGAGAAACTTAGCGCTGGTTGGAAAGTGTATATATACATTACAACTGAAAATGAAGGCTGCTGGACTGCTGAAAGAGAATATACATGCACACGAAAAAAAGGGCAGGTGGAAACAAGAAACATATACACGCATGGGTTTGCCAGCTGCTTTCATATAATAGCACAGGAGAAAAGAGGAGGTTGCTTGGGTGTTGGAATTGAATACATACAGACACAATTGCATGGCTTTTATATATATATATAGGAGGTAGAGAATAGTAGAATTGGAAATAGACAAATGTTGAAATGAAGATAATTTTATTAATATTTGAAAATTGAGAATACAAGATTGAAATAGAACTTTAAATTACAAGATTGAAATAAAAGATAGTAAAAGAATAATTTTTTCTCAAACTATCTAGAGAATGATTTATCTCCCGTTAAATCAATTCTTTTTTGAGAGCTACACTGAATTGTTTCTAAAAAGAACTGCACTTAATTAACTCTGAGGAGATCTTGAATACTTGATTTGTTTTTATACTTGAAATCTTGAACTTCGGACTTGAAAACTTCTTCAATTTGGAGAAGAAATATTGAATTATTACTTCTTTTGAAACTTTTGCACCCTCTATTTGAAAAAGTCTTCAATCATCTTGAAAAGTCTTCAATCAACTTTAATTTGTCTCCTGCTATTGGAATATCTTTTTGAAAGTTGATCATTCTTGAAGACATCATCTTTTTGACATTTGCTTTGATATTATCTCCGCAAATTACAATTCAAGCAAATTATTGAGGTTAAATAATTCTTTATCTTCAAAATTGATGTAGAGTCCTTTAAATGGTTCTTCATTTTTATGGAACAAATCCTCAAAACAATATTGAGACATTGAACTTTCATCATCAAATATTTTTCTTATTAAAGGAACTTGAATTTGAGTCCATTTTTCTTCGTGAGTAAAAATGACATAATGTTCATCATGAAACATCAATTGCAATTTTGAATTGTCAATATTTTCTTCGAGTTTTTTCTTTGCTGACATAATGAATTTTGATCTAATTTTTGTAAAAAATTTTCTTACATGATTTTTGAATATGAGCTCTTTTTCTTCAGGACTAAGAACTTTTGATGAAATATTGAATTTGGCATTGGAAGATTTCCAGACAAAGTACTCCAAATAATAACAATTTGTTTGACTGAAAAATACTTTTCAGTAAAAAGAGTGTCATTGAATTTTTTTCTTTAGCAATCTATTCAGGAAGAATAGTTGGGAATTCAATTTTGAGAGTTTTGACTTTAAATTTAAAAAGATGATTAATAACTCTTTTGAGAGAACTGTTAAAAAGTGAGATATCAAATTTTGAGTCAATATATATTGAGGAACTAAATTCCCATTAAATCATTTAAAGAATTTCTTCATTAATGACATTAATGATTGAAATACCTTTTAGGGT